GCTTCACAAAAACAAAACAAAAAAGTAAAAATATAAAAAAGCATTTAGAAAATGTTTAAAAATATATTTAAAACGAGCAAAAATAAGCAATTGCGATTTAAAAGAAAAATGTTAAGAAAGAGAGAGAGTGAATAGGAAAGAGGGAAATCAGTGGATCCTGAGGAAGGTGGAATAGGTGGGGAGAGCAGAATAAAGAGAGAGTGGTGAAGAAGTTCATACAAAAATGATGGGAGACGTTCCTGCTGTGAACACTGGAGGGGTTTTCTTACATGTGTCTGTAGGAACTGTTAACACGTTATAATGTACTGCCACCAAATGTCAAACACAATCTTCCCACATACACTAATCTGTAAGACATTATGGGGGAGACATAAACCCAGACAGGATCATCAGGAGGACACCTCCATGCTTATAAACTGGTTCCTACAGTAGCATCAGTGCAGGAGAGAAGAGCAACACAGATCCTTTGACCATAATGGGCTTAATGTGCTTTTGTGTGAAGAACGACACACTGATGAACATGACACAGAACATGTGAAAAGTTCTACTTCCATGGATAGCAGCTATCATCTGTGGCTCAACAGCACTGGCACATGAGCACACTCCTGAGTGGTGGCCTTGCCAAAAAGGTTCTTCCTGCTCCAGAGCTAAAGTGGAGCTCTGCCCTCCACATATGGGCAGCCACTATAATTGGAGTGACATTAACAATACACTTGCACATTATGAAGGAGCACTCAGGTGTAAAAGTTGACTTTTATGTGGTCACAAGAGGACCTCAATTAATCACAGCCAAATTGCTAGTTTCTAAAACTTCTTGGCGTGTAATTTCAGCTAAAAAAAGAGGCATAATCACGTTCTTGAGTCCTTGAGCTTTTTTTGTTCCTGAATGGATTCTGAGTGGGACACAGAGGAGCAAATGGAGGCTTTGCACTGGTTCTAAGAGCAAGAGATGACCATTTTGGGGCAGCAGTAGCTCAGGTGGTAGAGCGGGTTGCCTCATGATCGGAGGGTCATGGGTTCGATTCTAGCTCCCGCCAGGGGTATCCTGCCGTTGTGTCCTTGGGCAAGACACTTCACCCAACTTGCCTGTGTTAGTGGTGGTCAGAGGGGCCGACGGCGCCAAATGGCAGCCTCACCTCTGTCAGACCTCCCCAGGGCGGCTGTGGCTACAAGCAGCTTACCATCACTAGCAGTGTGTGAATGTGAGAGTGTGTGAAAGTGTCTTTGGGTGTCTTGAAAAGCGCTAAATAAGTTCAATGCATTATTATTATTATTATTATTATTATTATTATTATTATTATTATCATTATTATTATTTATGCACCAAATCTCTGACATGTGACTGTTCCTGTGAGGACATGAATAGAGAGAAACTCATCCAAACGCAGCACCGTCATTTCCCCAGGTTAGTGTGTGTGTGTGTGTGTGTGTGTGTGTGTGTGTGTGTGTGTGTGTGTGTGTGTGTGTGTGTGTGTGTGTGTGTGTGTGTGTGTGTGTGTGTGTGTGTGTGTGTGTGTGTGTGTGTGTGTTCTGGCTTGTGGTGCCCAACCATGTGTGCTCCTTTGTGGGCTTCCTGACTCCCGGCCTGGCTACAGATGGCTGCATGTCTCAGCAGGCGTGCTGACACAAACCAATGGCCTCATGGATTGAAGAGGAACTCACACACACACACACACACACACACACACACACACACACACACACACACACACACACACACACACACACACACACACACACACACACACACACAAACACACACACACACACAGGACCAAAATGGACATGCTTGCTCACGTGACTCAGACACTGGCACTCCCTTCACCTGGATATAAGTTTGTTGCTGTATTAATATAAAACGTGTGAAATGATCTTCATCAGAGTCACTTTTGATCACAGACAAGTGCTGTTGGGTCAGCCGCCACACACTGGCAGGTGTCGCTGCCGCAGGGGTGCCGGCTAACTCTGAGGGAAGGACAACTGGCACAAGCACCTGACTGGGAGCAAACACATGAGGTCCTGCCACAGTAAATAAGATATCAGTGTGAACACAGACAACACTGTAAATGCATGTGAGCATGTGTGGGCTGGGAATTGAACTTCCGCAGCCAGGAAAAAAATAATCCATGTTTGGACAACGCAAGTAAAACCTAATATAGCAGAATGTCCCTAACACACAGTTTTGGAATGGCATGCTTCTAAGCAGTGCTGGGGTTACTCACCCCCATCAGGCACAGCAAGGATTTGCTAGAGCTGTCCATGAAACCTTTCAGGAACACATTTATGCTTAAGCCTCCATTCTTACCTCTGCAGTAGGGAAGTGGAAAGTCCCAGGCAGCAGTGCCGGTTGAAGTGGCGAGGCAGGACAGGGTGGTGTGGCCCTCCAGCATGTAGCCAGGGCTGCAGCTGTAGCGGATTTTATCCCCGATATTAAAGCTGGCCCCCTGCTGGTAGCCATTCAGTAGCTGTCCAGGATTTCCACAGGTATAACTGGGCAGGGCTGGAGAGGGAAGAGAGACCATGACAGTGTTAGTAACGAGGCAGGTGAAGCAGCCGATGATCACGATCACTACAAGCCTGTAAACAGGTGACTAACAAAACTACATCTAAGTGTGTTTTAATGCTGCTGACCGTTCAGCTGAGCTCCTGGCTGTGAAGGTTACCTACCCCTGGTGTGTGACGGCCTGATGGCCACGCTGCAGCACTCAACATGCACTCGGGTTTCTACCCAAACATCTACTTTTAAATACGCATATTTCATAACAAGCTACAGAGAAAATGATGTCCCTCCACTGTTTAACAATGTATGTCTTTTTTATTTGTGATGACAAATGCCAGTATGTTCTCCGAGCCAGTAGTCCCCTCATGATATTCTGGTAAAACCCAAACAGATCAAACTAAATCCTGACAGATTGACACCAACATTCAACGCAGCACAGTCTGCATCATTTCTCAGCAGAGCTGAGGTAAAACATTCACTTTGGTTTGCCAGCACAAAGTATGAAATACAGACATTTATTTTTAATCCCATTTCATTTCACAGGTGTGTAGCAAGAGGGTGGAAGTAGAGATGCTTTTATCAACCAATCAGTCAGATTTATTTATAAAGCACTTTTCAAACAAGAGTGCGACTCAAAGTGCTTTACAGAATTAAAATGACCCCAAACTCTCATAACAGGCTAAAAACATTAACAGTCATACACACACACACACACACACACACTCACACACACACACACACACACACACACACACACACACACACCTAATAACATCAGTAAAAATTATATTTGTCTGAGTCCAGATGAGACAAGAAATGTAAGGCAAGGAAATGCCATCAGAAGAGCCGTCTGCCCCGAAAGCATCAGGCCAACCACAGCAACCAAGTCAGGGCACCCAAGAGGAGGGAGGGCACTGACCCCCAACACCACCACTACCTATAGAGCGCTCAGGCAGCAACAGTCGACCACTGCCCCCGGGGCAGAGGACCCCACAGAGGAAACACTGGATTAAAATGAGTAAAAATATAAAAATAAAAGAGCTAATATAAATTACAAAAGTAAGAACATTAATAATAAATAAAAGCATATGGACAGTAAGTTGATAATATAATTAAATAATGAAACAATACTAAAATATAATTATGTAAAACAAATAATAAAACCATAATAAATAGTTAAAAGCTAACCTAAATAGGTGGGTCTTGAGTCTGGACCATCGACATAAAGATACTGGACATCTCCTTTCCATAGGCTCCAATATCACATTTCTGAGGCCAAATGGGAGGTGGCCACCATCGCCATTTTGACCGTGTCACAGGTTCCATCAAGCCCAGACAATTCCACAAAAGGGAAGAGAGGAGGAGCTGAGGGTGGGGCTGTAAGGCTGGGATCAACTGACGACACCCGGTCGAACTAGCTACAAGCGAACCTGAAGCTAACCCTGGCTAACCCAAAGCTAACGCGGAGGTGGGAGCTAAGCTAACGGAGGTAGCAACGTAGCTACAACCGGAGTTAACTGTGCACAACACCAGAGCTTCTGAGTCAGAGATACGCCGGGCTGACCGCTGGGTAAAACCGGGTGGAAAGGTTTCCATCCCAGAGCTCCACAAGCCGTCAGCCCGCGCATCAAACAGAAGCCGCGATCAGACAGAGATGCGCCGAGCTGCTGTGAAATTGGTATTTTTAACATGGGAGTCAATGAGGATTTGCTCACTTCTGACACCAGCCCCCAGCGGATGAGGGTGGAACTGCAAGTTATTTCATTTCCGCATTTGCCTCAATTTTTGACCCGCATTGTGGGGCTTAGTCTGGACTTAAAAACATGAACGTTCTCTGCAGCCTTGAGGTTCTCTGGCAGATCGTTCCAGAGGCAAGGGTTGTAATGCTGGATGGATGCCTCGCTGTAAGTGTGTGTCCTGACTTTAGGAATAACCAGGAGATGCCTGCCAGAGGAGTGCAGAGGCTGTGAGGGTTCATATGGTAAAATCAACTCTGAGAGATAAGAAGGCCCAAGACCATTAAGACACATAAAAACCCTTAGAAGAACCTTAAAGTCAATCCTGAAACAGCATCCATCCATCCATTTTCTTCTGCTTATCCGGAGTCGGGTCACGGGGGGGCTGCAGCCTAAGTGGAGCTCATGACCATAGGTGAGAGTAGGTACGTAGATTGACCGGTAAGTCGAGAGCTTTGCCTTCTGGCTAAGCTCTCTCTTCACCACGACAGACCGGTATAACGCCCGCATCACTGCAGATGCAGCACCAATCCGCCTATCGATCTCACGCTCTATCTTTCCCTCACTCAAAAACAAGACTGGTCCAGTGTTCCACGATCAGGACGAAAACCACATTGCTCCTCCTGAATATGAGGTTCGATAATCCGCCGGACCCTCCTCTCCAGAACCCCAGAATAGACTTTACCAGGGACGCTCAGGAGTGTGATCCCCCTGTATTTGGAACACACTCTGCGGTCCCCCTTTTTAAATAGGGGACCACCACCCTGGTCTGCCAGTCCAGTGGGACTTTCCCCAATGTCCATGCGATATTGCAGAGCCGCGTCAACCAACACCAACACAACCCCACAACATCCAGAGCTTTAAGGAATTCTGAGTGGATCTCATCCATCCCCAGAGCATTGCCACAAAGGAGCTTTTAAACGACCTCAGTGACCTCAGCACCAAAGAGAGAGTTCAACTCAAAGTCCCCAGACTCAGGTTCCTCACTGGAAGATTTCCCGGTGAGATTGAGGAGGTCTTCGAAGTATTCTGCCCACCGATCCACAACGTCCCGAGTAGAGGTCAGCAGCACACCATCCCCACTATAAACAGTGTGGGTAGCGCACTGCTTTCCCCTCCTGAGGCGCCGGATGGTGGCCCAGAATCTCCTCGATGTCGTACGGAAGTCTTGCTCCATTGACTCATCGAACTCCTCCCATGCCCGTGTTTTTGCCTCGGCGACCACCCGAGCAGCATTCCGTTTGGATTGCCGGTAGCTATCAGCTGCCTCTGGAGTCCCACAGGCCAAAAAGACCTGATAGGACTCTTTCTTCAGCTTGACAGCATCCTTGACCACCGGTGTCCACCAGCAGGTCCGGGGGTTGCTGCCACATTAGGCACCAACGATCCTGCGGCCACAGCTCTGGTCGGCCGCCTCAACAGTCGAGGTATGGAACAGGGCCCATTCGGACTCAATGTCCCCCGCCTCCCCTGGGACATTTTGGAAGTTCTGTCGGAGGCGGAAATTAGAGCTACTTCTGACAGGAGACTCTCTCAGATGTTCCCAGCAGAACCTCACAATAAGTTTGGGCCTGCTAGGTCTGACCAGCATCCTCCCCATCATCAGAGCCAACTCACCACCAGGTAGTGGTCAGATGACAGCTCCGCCCCTCTCTTCATCTGAGTGTCCAAGACATGCTTTTATTCTGGTAAAGTGGAGGAATAGTCCATCAGATTACATAAACATATTATTGAGTGAGTGGGTTTACATCACAAACTCCAATCACAACATTCAAACCGTTGAATGACAGCAGCTCGTTGCCTCTGTTCCTGGTTCTGACTTTTAAACCGTTCAGAGGAAAGCGGCCATTAATGACTGCATGAGCACGTTCCACCAACATGGAAGCCTTTTTCTAATCAACACGTCCTTCCATTTCTACACAGATCCTTCAAGTATAAAAGCACAAATGACTCATTAGGGTGGATACTCCACCTGCTCCACCACTTTTACCATCAGTGGATTCTCTGCAGGTGTTTTCCATCATCTGTTGAAGCCAGAACACCTGCTCACACACCAAGGATACCCTAAATGACTCGACTGACTTAAAGTACCTAGTTAGTACTTGGGTAGTTTCCCTCTGGCCTAGTTTGACTTCTGATGATAGACTGAGTTGTCACTTTGAGGCTCCGCTGCGCTGCAGCCTTAATGCTGGTGAGCCAAGGCTACCTGTTCCACTCCCGGATTAGCACATGCACAAGGACTCTTATTAGCATATTAGCTGCTGAGATCGAATGCAATGGCACGGCCACAGTGGGGTTTATCTCCATGCAGGGAATGGCTTCTTCTCATTTCTCCTGGGTCTGAGAAATATGGTGGCATGGGGAGGATGCACGTGGACAGAATTACAATAGGCTGAAAGAATAGAAAAGTTTCTCTTGCCCTCTTAATAAAAAGCACATCCATCACCAGTACAGGGGTCTTATCATGGCAAATCCACTTTTTGGAACTTTGTACCATGTGATGTAGTTGTTTCCTCATGGAAAGTACCCAACCTGTTTTTAGCTGCATTCATGCATTTTCCTGTCTCAGCTACGTTTTCAGATTCTGAGGTAAAGACCTGCAGACATAAAGATGGAAGCCAAGTGCGTCATCAGGCCTTTCTCCTCCCCCTGAAGCTAGTCTCAGATCTGGAACCTGCCTTCTCTGGATGTAGGTCACTGACACCCACTTTCTCAGAGTTGCAGGCATAGAGCTGTTATTTGATGTTGCAGTTGAGAATGTGATCATGATGTCACACATGACTATAAACCTCTGCCAGTACCAGAGTGGGCTTGGGAGGGGCCTGCCCCTGCAATGAGGCAGACGAGAGGGAACGGCTGCTGGATGACACAAGCTCTTCCATAACTTGTGTTCAGACGAGAATGAGCTCCATTCTTAATAAATTACTGTTATGCAGATTTATTTAGGGTTTATACGGCTGCCCCAGTCAGGACTGAGTCATGGGTACTAACGGCGCTTACACATTAGCGTCGGCACAGTCGAGGTTTGGTCAGGCTGGGTGGCGTGAGTTTGGGCTGCTATGGGTGGTGTAGTGTTCACTTAGAAATCCAAGGGACTTCTCAGGAATGCGTAAATCCCTGAGCCTGTGGGCGGCATTTAATACGCGCCGGAAAGTCCGCTGTGTCCTCCATTAAAAGGTAAGAAAAGGCGGGCATGAACTGTGTTGATTTTGGAGACTCTGAACCACATTATTTTATTAATTTGCTGTGTGTCCTCCTAATCTT